GAGACATCGCGTGCAAGAGTCATGTAATGGGGGAAGTTGATGGGGTCTTGGCACCGTGAGCCACTCGCTACCTAGGTATACTGAGCCACTCGCTATACAGATACGTTAATATGTTACTATTTTATGCATTTATAGCATGTACTTATCTGTGAGAGCCTACCAACATTATTATTATATTCTTATTACATTCTCCTAATGATATCGCAATCCATCGCTTTGCAGAGACATAAGAATCTACACGTTTCAAGTCAAAAGTTATACAATAGTAAGTAGCGTCAACTTTTTCGTGCTTTGTCTAATTTTGATGTAGTACATTACGCTACTATCCCTCTTATCCTTATTTCTATAGCTTCTACAGCAGCTCAAAAACCATTTAGTCTACAATGCTTTGTTGATTTCGACAGCTGTCAATTTGAGGTTCCCGCAGAATTGAAGAATACGTTGGCTGCGGCCTTTGGAAAAAGAGCAGGATGTGTAAGAAAGCTGTAGTCGCGTTCCACCGTGCGCCAGATTCTGCTATTGAGGGATTTTCCTGCGACCCAGTCGCTGTTAAAGCTATAGGCCCTAAATGGATTTATACTTACGATACTGTAAGAGAGATATGTTCTGTCCAATGCCCATAGGGGTGCAGGCAAGAATGTTCGGATCAGGATCGGCGGTAGAGTCACATAGAGGCATATGGCAGTGCGTGGGACACCCACAAGTCTTGATTCGAATAGGCACCTATAGTCTTAGTACAAAAGAATATTAAAAACCTACTATACAACTATGGTTAGATGTCAATACTTATACTCACAGATCTGCTCCGGCCAATGAAGCTAGAAGATCTGGGCCGACCTTGTCTACCAATATTGCTTGCCAAGACTGTACCGGGCCTGTCCCATTGCACCGCCCTCACTTGATGATACGAAGAAAGCGGCTATGGTTCCCTTAGCCTGAAGGGTACCAGATGAATCACCGAGGACTAGCCTTGCTAGGCTTCAGTTCAGAGTATCATGACAAACATCTCTTCTTGCTAGTTTGACTACAAGTGATAAACGAAAAGAAAAAAAAGTCTCGGGGAAGACAAAAAAGACTTCACACCTACCAGCATGTAACACTACGGCAGTACTATGTTATTTCACATCCACATAGCCAAGCATGTATCCAACCTACCTGCCGTGCATCCTCCACCCTAAGAACAAGCGAGCCAACATCATCCCTGCCCATCCTCACATCCTTGGACCTGCATCTCCCCAAACATCAACGCATCATCTTCTCTCCCACATCCGCGGAGTCCCTCCCCCCCTTACCTCTCTTCACCCACATACGTAGCGCGCGACCTAGTCATTTACCTCGCTTAACCCCCCCGCATACATCAAGTCTTGACATCACCCCTCCAACCACCATCTCGAATCCACGCATCCATCGAATCGCGACAGTGCCAGAATGTGATGTCAGGCACCAGTTCTCGGTGCACGTACCCCAAATGACGCTAATGCAATAGCCCAACGCCCCGGGTGCTCGTTTACCGGCTATTTTCTTACCATTTGTAACGTCGGCCGTGGTGAGTGGGGTTGCTGGTCTTTTCGGTCAGTCGTCGTTGTATGATGCTGTCGAGAGGTGAAGATGGATGGAAAGAGGGGAAAACGGCACGGGGGATCCGTAGTTAGCACGCTACGCGTAGAGACAAGGCTTGGTGTTGAGATCGGCGCGGTTGGCGGTGCGACTGAGCCACGTTGTAATTGTTACGGATATTTGAGCCGGGATTGTCTAAGGGAAGTGTGGGAGGGAAGAGGCTGTTATTAGAGGATGGGAGGGAATTAGGATGAGGGCGTGTTGATGTCACTGGGGAAGTACAAGGTTATCGAGATGGACTACGACATAGCGCTCGTAAGTAAGGAAAATGCTTATAGTCTTCAAAACGCTCTATAAGAATGCCCGGCAAAGGTCTCTTCACTTTCCATTCCCTCCAGCACCCTCACTCAATCATCATCCAAAATGCTCTCAAAACTTCTCCCCTTACTATCCCTCATCCGCTTCACCACCGCCCAATCCCAAGTCCAAGAACCCGCACCACCCCCCGCCCTGCTCTCTACTGCAAAATCCGGCGTCATCCCCGCCCTCCCTACCGCAACCTCCTTCACAGGCGTCGACACCCTCCAAGGCGCCATCATCTCGCCCCTTCCTCCAGCACCAGGTTACCTCCCCAACGCCACAGGCGGTGTCGAGGGCACCGCAACCGCATCCCCAAACCAACCCTCAGCCACCTACCGCGCTGTGCTTCCGGATGTACAATACAACCCCTACGTCAACACCAACGTCACGGGCACCATCGACGCAGCCGGCGACCCCCAAGGCGTCCGCTTCACCGTCAACCTAACCAATCTACCGGACCAAGAGCAATTCGGACCTTTCGCATGGCACATCCACGCGCTCCCCGTCCCCAGTGACGGAAACTGCACCGCTACACTCGGCCATCTCGACCCCACAAACCGCGGCGAACTCTACATGTGCGACGCTTCTTTGCCAGAAACATGTCAAGTCGGTGATTTAGCAGGCAAGCACGGCGGCAAAATCACTTCAGAGGGGAGTTTCGAAGTGCAGTTTGTGGATCCGTATTTGAGCGTTGAGCAAGGATCAGAAGGGTATTTTGGGGGATTGGCGTTTGTGTTGCATACGGGGAATACGACGAGGATTACTTGTGCGAATTTTGAAGTCGTGCAGGGGGGGAATGCGACTGGGGGTGTGGGGTCGCCGACGCAGAGTGGGTTGCCGGAGTTTACGGGGGCGGCGAGGAAGGTAACGGGTGGGACGGTGGCGCTGGCGGTTGGGGTGTTTGCGGCGGTGATGGCTTAATGGTTTTGATAATAATTTACATAGTCGTAATTGGATATGAGTCATGGGGTATAACATGTGTGTGAGCTCAGACTGCTTCCTCCGCTTCCTTCGTACTCTCACCCCACGCTTGGTGCAGAGAACTCGTACATTCCTTGTTACAGCCCGGCCGAGTGCAAACCCAGAATCTGGGACCGACACTGAGCGGTTTCTCGCAGAGCGGTCTCATACACATGCTCCACTCGTACCCATGGACTGAATGGCCTTTCTTCAACATCACTTTTGCAGCCGCGGTCCTCTTTGACTTGATCTCTTCAACTGACAGCTGGAAGCAAGTGTTGCAAACAGACGAGGGCACTTCCCTGAGATCCTGTATGGGTCCTCGGTATGTGTTAGGATTGACGAAACGCTTGTACATGGTGTATAGCCAAGGAGCATCAGGAACGCATTTGCACTCTATACCCTTGTGTCTTGTGCCTTGAAGGGTTTGTTTAACCGCAACATGTTGGTAGTAGCAGGACTTGCAGTATGGGACACAGTTTTCCAGGTGGTGTAGTGGGGCTGATTGTACAAACGAGGTGGCCTTGAAACAATCCGAGCATATCGGAATCCAACACACCGAACAAGGAGTCCTCGCGCCACCGCCACGGCAAGTAGATCGTTTGAAAAGGGTGAGGCGGCGATGAAGATCGTCGTGGGGGAGGACCGAGTTACGGACAGATTTGGAGACGGAAGACAGGCTCAAGACATCGACGTAGTGTAGGTGTTGAGTGACCATCATGAGCATGTCGTAGATGCCGAGGAACTGTGCCAGTTGCGTAGGCTCCCCGTCAGTGCCTTGATACCTCGCTATATTATCCTTGTTGAAAATCTGCGTCTTCAGCCCTTTGAGCGCAATCTCGGTCTTCTGCTCCGCCCCAAGCGCCGTTTTCGCGGCGTACCGGCGCGCTGTTCGAACTGGTACTTTTGCCTTTCTAGGTACACATAAGCGGAAGATAAAGACTGGAGTAGTATACAGAGTAAAAGGAACAAGCGCCACAGTTCCTCTTGGTAGATAAATGGTACATGCCAAGAGGAAAGTAGCGCATCTTTGGATTTTTTTCAAAAGCTTGATGACTTGTTGTTTGGCAATTGGTATGCAGCCAACAAAAGAGACAATACCAAAAAGTGCCATCAAGGCTTGGAAGAAGCTTGGGCTGTTAGTACTCAATGGCAATTTGGGGTTCATGGACAACTCACGCTATGGAGATGCCATATTGACGTTCCTCGGCAAAGTTCTTGCACATTTTGGTAGGGGTTGTGACCGTTGCATTCAGCCTCGCCGCAGCAGCGAAGAAGCTCTCATTAGTCCCTGGAGGTCGCTGGTCGTAAAAAGTGGACATGTCATTACATGCGCTTTTCGCCGTGGGCACGTATCTGCTTTGATAATGCGTAGCACGCGCTATGTAGATGGTAACTAGTATATCCCCAGCCGCGACTGGGAGATGCAATGGCGGTTCCAGCCATATGGATGGTATCCAGATTGTAATGTTCCAGAAAAAGGCAAAGTTACCCCACCAGTCTGCCATCTTTTCGCCGGTGACGATAGTTGGATCGTAGGTGCCATTGTGAAGCAGAAGGTTGTCACTGATTACGTTGTTGTGGCGTGTCGCATAGTCCTGGTAATAGATAGTCGGTGCCAGGATAATGAAGCGGAGAATTATGTTTATGCAGTAGAAGGCTACGTAGAGTCCATAGAATTTGAGATCTTTCTCCGTCCGGTTGAATCTGGACAATGCCATGTTGGGTCTAGCAGGTCGCTGAAGCGATCTGACTTTGTGCGATGGGATTTACAAGACAAGGATCTGTCCAGTTGTAGAACAGATGAAGGTTGATGGATCATGAAGAGTCAAGTCTTTATGGGATGCAAGAGCAAAGATAGACACGAGATGTGAGGTTGCCGAGGCTTGAGGAGGGTGCTGGATGCCTGGTGCGCAGCCACGCAGCACAAGGCTGAACCGTTTGTCTGGTGATAATCTTTACCGAAGGCATTCTACGGCCCGGTTATGACTGGCGCGTGGGGGGATACAGAGAAGTATTAGATATGGTGTTGCAGCCTTGTAGCCCCGCAGTGGAAAAAGAAGGCAATTTGAAGGGCGCGGTCAGCCCATGTGGGTTAGTTCAGAGTTACCTGTGAACTGGATAGAGGGCAGCCCAGTCAGCCACGACAGTATGCATCTGTCGTGCTGGGCTTGATGGCAACGGAAATGGCCAAAGGCCTGGAGCTGGACATGACGTCGATCAGAACGGGCTTGAGTCAGGGGGAGAAGCGAAGCATGTTATGCGCACTGTCGCGTTGCCCATTGCGATTGGCGCAGGGCTCGTAGTGGCCGAACATGTGGGCACAGCAAATGAGAAATGATATGTCGCAGCAAGGTAGGGGTGTCGAGCAAGATGAGGGCTGGCGTTGGCTGGTGTTTGGCTGGCGTGGTGGTGGACAGGGCGGGCGAGGCGAGTGAGTGCACGGCTCGAACCGCCGCGGGCGGGTCGGTGTCGCCGGGGCAACGGCGGGTGTTTATCGATGCTACAAGGTGCCAATACACCCCTGCACCTAGCTCTATCAAGCACACCTGCGATTCCCTAATCTCGGCCCACACAAGGCTCACCAGAAGGGCTTCTCCGCAAAAAGGAACCTCTAGCTGCATCTTAGCCCCCCCTCGAAACACACACCCTTCCGACTCCTGCATTGCACAGCTTCGACGTTTCGCCTCAACACCCTCGCCGCCGCCTCATCGTCTCAGCATACAAGTCGAGCTGATAGCTGCCACTAACCCCGCCACAAGGATCCTCGCAACCTTATCCGCCATGGAGGCCCTCTTATCGCTCGCCTTTGACAATATTGCGTCCAAGGATACGCAGAAGATTCGCAAGGGATTACGGCAGATTGAGGGCATGTTGGCGCAGATTTGTCTCTCTGGCACAAAGTCGAAACCCAGCACACCAGGCCACCGCCGGAATGCCTCAGCAATCACTCTGAGCGAGCAGCAGCAACAACAACAGCAACAACAAGCCACAGCAAAGAAGTTGGGACAGCTATCAGATGATCTCGCCTTCCGAGAGTTTTTTCGCCTACAAGAGGGGTTCGAATGGAATGGTGCGTCGAGTCAGCAGATCAACAATGGGCAAGATGCTAATAGTGTAAAGTTGTGACCAGGGTAGCCGACTGTCTGGATCGATTGCTTGGTATGGGCAGCAGCAAAGGTAGGAGAGGTACGCAGAGTTGATGACGATTAAGAGCTAACCATGATTACAGATGGCCAGAACGACATCCTCATCCTCTCGTCGCTTTCCAACATACAAGGTCTCCTCCTGCTACACCCCCCGTCACGCATCATCTTCGGGCGCGAGGTATACATGAACCTTCTCCTCGACCTGCTCGACCCCTATAACTGCCCGGCGATCCAGTCACAAGCCCTTCTCGTTCTCGTCTCCGCCCTGCTTGCCACACCCCAAAACACGCGGATATTTGAGCACATGGACGGCCTGCTCACAGTAACGAGTCTGTTCAAGGACGAGGAGACAACACAGGGCGTCAAGGTCAAGCTGCTCGAGTTCTTGTACTTTTACCTCATGCCCGAAATGCCCGTCTCGGGCCCTCAGCGGAGTCGCGACAAGGTCAGGACGGCTATGGACCGGCGGGGGAGCACCGACGACGGCAGCAATGGAATCAGAAAGCACACACGGTCGCAGGCTGAGAAGCAGCATATGCTAGGCAAGTATCTCAACAATGTGGATGCTCTGGTCGAGGATCTGCAGGAGAGTGCGCCATTTACAAACGTCTCCTGCTAAGAGCGATGCAAGGCAGATTTTTCATCTGTCCCTTTTTTTTTCTTTCCTTTATCTATGCTTACTTTGGTTGACCACATATTGGTCCCGTTCAGCGCGGCGTCACGGAATGCTTGGTGTCATTCGCATCCATACCTGTCGCAAACACCATAGCTATTATTGCTACTTTTTCCTTTGTTACAATGCATTGCTGTATTTTTTTTTCTGGGACAGCGAAAGACTGATAGCTTCATTGCATATTCCAGCGGATACCTTTTTTGTTTGTAGACTATGTTTCTCGTTGGGCTGGGTGGGTTTGTTGACGTCTCAGATTGAAGCGAGACGTTGAGCGTGTGGGCCTATTAGAATGACGGTGGGGGCATGGCCTGCATGGCCCATTGCCGTCATTGAATAATATTCTGTACATATGTATGCGACTTGTGCAGTGTGAATTGCGTGACATGTGTAGCAAATTTGATCCCTTTGCCCTTTCTGGCCTAGGAAAGCTGGGTTTCAACCGCCTGGGTCTGCTTTGGTGCGCATATCTGATCAGCAATGGCTTGTTGAGGCGTGGTTGGCATGGCGCTGATGTTGCAGTCTTACTGCATAGCCTACTCGAGACGTTGTATGTAGTATGTAAGCAAGGCAGATCGTGGATACGTGCACATGGATGATTGGGTGCTGAGTGGATGCCTGTCAACAGAGGCCCAGCACACGAGGCTACGCCCAAGTCACGTGCGAGCAGCCTCGTCTCGTCTCGTCTCGTCTTTTTAAGCACATCACGTTGGTCTCACGTGCAGCGGACCAAACCTGCCTAGCACCGGCGATCGGCGGAAGCTAAACCTCTGCCGCCGTGGTCGCGTGCTCATTGTGAGATGCTCGCATTACAAAGGCGTGCCAACGGAGTGCGCGGATCGCGAGCTGGGAGACATCGGAGCCTCCGGACGGGCGAGTGTTACTGCGAAAAAGTCGGTGCTAAGTTTGAATATTGCCAATTGAACTCTTTACCGTCACTTCCAGCCAGTACCTTTGTCATGCCTGGGGCTGGTAAGCACTTCAATGCTGCTGCCCACAAAACCATCTCTAGTCATGACGCGCACTTTAGCAAATCATCAGTAAACTCCTTCTCGGAAGGTCGGCTATTCATGCAACGCCCTGCACTACACAAGGGCAGCCGCAGAGCAACTTCGTCCGACCACTCGCACGCCTTGCCAATCCATGACCTCAGAGCTCGTTCGCTAATACCTGCTTGCCGTCTCTTCCGTCGACACCATGAATGTGGCATGCTTACTCTTAGTGCCCTCTGTCGTCCTCTTTTGCATCCTCCTAGCCGCCCATTTCTGAAATCTTGCATAACTATACCAGAAGTTTTTTTTCTTTGCTTCTTCCTCTGTCTTACTTGCCCTGCCTTTGAGCTGGTTGCCCTGCCTGTGAGCAAAGCTGGAACGCCTTACGCCTTGCGCCTCATACATCTGCTCGCATCCGTATTTGGTCCGCTTACTCGATACATCGTCAACTCTACCTACAACAAGCAACATCCCAGAAGAATAGTGACGTCTACTTCTTTCTTGTAAAACTACAATACCCTCCAGATCGCAAGCCTTTGTTTTGTTCGCCTGAACATCCCATCCGGCATAGTATCATATCATGGGCGCAGGAGCCTTCATAGAACCACTTGTGGTTATCACCCTACTCTTCGGCGGTACTTGGGTAAACCGCAACACGGAATACCGTCTTCTTAACCGACCAAAAGTCTATCACCACTCGCCCCGCTCTGCTTCACCCGAGTCTGGTCGATCGAGTCCCCTGTCCAGTACATCACTTCTCGCCAATGTCGACGAAGAGCCACGATGGCAGTCGCGCGAAATCAAACTACTAGGCATGCGCAAACAAGTTCTCAGCCCAAACACCCGTAGATTCCAAGACTACTTTCTATCAAGACTACTCCAAAAGTTTCCCTTTTTAGTCGAAGCCTGGTACTGGGCTTTGATCTACTGGGTACGTCAAGCTTCACTTCTGTGGATTAACCAAAATACACCAAAAACGCTAACAGTTATCGCCAACGCAGGTCTACCAAGTCGGGCGCGGCATAAGTGCCCTCTACCTCATCGACGAAGGCACCGTAAACGTCGCGCGCCGCCACGCCTTGCAACTCATCGCCCTCGAGCAGCGCCTACACATCTTCCTCGAACTCGACATCCAAGCCTGGTTCCTCAAGCACCCCTTCATTCTCCACTGGACAAACCGCATCTACTCCTTCATCCACATCCCCGGCACCATCCTCTTCCTCGTATGCCTCTACTACTACACCACAACCCGCAACCGCGTCGATCTCCCCTTGCACAACAAGCCAATAGGTGAAGCATCCGGCAGTCCCGCAGGCGCAGCCTTATATGCCGCCCGCCGCCGCACAATGGCAACCTGCAACCTCCTCGCCTTCATCATCTTCACCCTCTGGCCCTGCATGCCCCCACGCCTCCTCTCCGACCCAGACGTCACCGGCGACATTGGCAAAAAAGCCCGCAGCTTCGGCTTCGTAGATACCGTGCATGGCGCCGAAGGTGAAAGCAGCGTCTGGACCCAAAACAAATTCTGCAACCAGTACGCCGCCATGCCCTCGCTGCATTTCGGCTACTCCCTCCTTATCGGACTGACCGTTATGACGATTCCGCTGGCGCCCCAGCATGCGCGCTCGAGGAGCGTAGCGTTGACAATGGGACTCCGCATGCGTGTCCCGTCACTACGCAGGTTTCTGTGTGTAGCACTCGGTGTCGCGTATCCGACTATTATCCTCATTGCCATTGTGGCAACGGCGAATCATTTTATCCTAGATGCCGTTGCGGGGGCTATGGTGTGCGGTATTGCTTGGGCGGGGAATCGCGTCCTGCTTAATTTGCTTCCGCTCGAAGACTACTTTTTGTGGTGTGTACGCATTCATAAGCCTGAGAGACGGTCGGTTGGATGGGGTGGAGATGAGTTCAAGTATGGTGGGGCTAAGGGTGTGGTTTTTGATTAAGCTTATACCCTTGTTTTGTTTTTTTCTCAAGAATGGGAAGGGGTTCGGGAAGACGTTGTTGGGTGGAGGTGTGAATGAGACAAGAGTCGGATTAAGTGGGTTGGAAACTTTGACGGCTTTTTTTTGTATTGGATTAATACCCCCGCTGGTTATATATACCATAGGTTTTCCTCTTTTTTTGCATTTGCGATACGCTCGTTGGCAAGTAGCAAGCTCTGGGTTATGCGAGTTATTTGTTTATACAGCTGTAACCTTGGAAGACATGGGTGAAGAGGTCAAGGCATGGTACTTGATTTTATATACCCTAATTAATAAACTAAACTCATAATTCACTTCCATGGAAATCGTATAGTTGCAGTGTAAAGTGGCATATTTCTCAATTGAACAGAAGAAACTTGACGGCAGAGGAAACATCGATTTTCCTTAGCCCATAGCTCTTCCTCTACAACTACACAACCATTTCCTATCTTCATCTCCTTCCTCCTTATCTGCTTTCCCGCACTTGCACACGTCACCTCCCCCAAAAATACACCACCTCATCCCTCCGCCTTCAACTGATGCTTCCACCCCATAACAAACAAACACTCCATCTCCCTACTCTATCCTTCATTAGCCAATTTCCCACCATCAAAAACTTTGGAAAAAAAAGATAGTCACTCACCCTAGTCCCACCCTTACACTCCCCCTCTCTCCACTCTCCCCCCCTACACCACCCACAACCCCCCTCTCCATCCCTATCTCCCCACTCACACCTCCAGCCCCCCTCCCCCTCATTCAAATACCCAAATCGCAACTCGCCCCTCCGCGCATCAAACGGCCACACGTTAAACGTCTGCGGGTAAGCGGGGATGTGGTGGTCGACGATGGCGCGGGTCGAGGAGGTCAGGTTGATGATGCGGGAGGTCCAGTTGCCGTTTGTGAGGGTTGCGTTGGCGGAGTGGGAGTGGGAGGAGGAGGAGGGAGAGCAGAGGGAGGTCAGGGTCAGGTGGAAGGGGTAGAGGATTATGGGTTCGGGGTCGTGGGGGCGTGTGGTTTGGGTTACGCGGGCGGTTTGGGTTATGGTTTGGGTGGGGAGGTTGTTGTTGTTGTTGTTGATGTCGTTGGCGTCGAGGGCGTGGGCGTTGGTATTTGCGGTTACGGAGGCGTCGAGGGCGTGTATGATTGTTGGGGTTGGGGTGTAGAGCATGGTGGAGGTGTCGCGGTCTTCGAGGAAGAGGGCGAGGGCGGGCTCGATGGGGGAGTTGGGTGCCGTGAGGGCGGTGGTGAAGAGGTGTAGGAAGAAGATGAAAAGAAGTGAGAGATGCATTTTGATTGAAGCTGTGGGTGTGAGTGTCTATATTGTTGACAGTGCTTGGGAGAATGTACGAGTGTTGTTCAGATAGTAGACTGAATTAAGCGAGTGTATTGGCGCAAAATCTACTTCTAGAGAACAATTGAAGTGAGAGGACTCTATAAGATGGAGTTTTGAAAAACAAGTCGGATATTGGAAAAGACAGCGTCACCTCACGGTGAGTACAGTTGGTGAACCAGACGCACGGACAGTGGGCAAGCAAACGGAAGGGAGACGCTCATATTGGACGCACAACGTGACTAGTCAAAGAAAGTGGTACTCGGAAACAAACGTCAAGCACACGCCCGTAGGAAAATGAATGGCAAGGAATTATAGATAAAATTGACAGGTACCAACTCGCAAGCATGAGACATGCAAGCAGCTTGGACGGCCAATAGAACAGAGACTAGGGCCTGTGTGTTACCAGGTGAGAGATTACAAAGAGTATACATGACATTGTTGTGTACATTCAACAAAACCTCCGGGTATAGTGTTTAAAGAGGGTATGGGTAACCGCAAACGCCAACTGTGAAATGTGCTAGCACCAGTCTAGTAACCAAACAGAAGACTTGAGAAAATCTGACATAGGAAATGGAAACGCAAGGAAAACTTTTTTTAGCGTCTGCTGCTCCTGGTGTTGTTGCGACTGGGCCTATCGTCTCTGCGGCGGTCATCTCT